TTATTTTAGGAAACACAAAAATAAAAATCATCTTTGTGTGACAGAAACGTGTCTAAATCAATAACAGCAGCAGAACTAACAGCTAAAGAAATAACGTTTTAGAAAAGCCGAACTTCGGCTGTGATCGGTGCAGAAATGAACAGAAAAGCTGCGTTTGAAGGTCCTGACGTCCTGCTGAGTGCTGGCAGGCTGCCAAACTCTTCAATGGCACCGATTGATCCAATTCATCCGATTGATCCGATTCATCCGATTGATCCAATTCATCAGATTGATCCAATTCATCCGATTGATCCGATTGATCCGATTCATCCGATTCATCCGATTGATCCGATTCATCCGATTCATCCGATTGATCCAATTGATCCGATTGATCCAATTCATCTGATTGATCCAATTCATCCAATTCATCCGATTGATCCGATTCATTCGATTGTTCCAATTCATCTGATTGATCCAATTCATCCGATTGATCCAATTCATCCGATTGATCCAATTCATCCGATTGATCCAATTCATCCGATTGATCCAATTGATCCAATTGATCCAATTGATCCGATTGATCCGATTGATCCGATTGATCCAAAGAATCTGATTGGTCCGATTGATCCAATTAATCCAATTGATCCAATTAATCCAATTGATCCAATTGATCCAATTCATCCGATTGAGCCAATTGATCCGATTGATCCAATTCATCCGATTGATCCAATTGATCCAATTGATCCAATTGATCCAATTGATCCAATTCATCCGATTGATCCGATTGATCCGATTGATCCAATTCATCCGATTGATCCAATTCATCCGATTGATCCAATTGATCCAATTCATCCGATTGATCCAATTCATCCGATTGATCCAATTCATCCGATTGATCCAATTCAGGCTCCCTTTAGTTCAGTGTCCTCTGTTTTTAACCCTATGAGCACAGCGGATGTTCAACGACCAGGATCAGGGACAGAATGATCGTTAAAGCTCTAAAACAAAATGTTTCTCACCAAACGTGCGTGAGGAGCGAGCACGCTTCAGGAAGTCTGAGTTTTCTGTTGATTTGAAGGTTCAGTGTGGAGTTAGCTTCATCTCCCCTTCACATCAGAACGTTTCCTCTCTCCTGATAACTGAACTTCTCCCCCTGTCTCTGAGGGAGAGTCCAGCTCTGCAGAGGAAACTCATTTCAACCTCCTGGATCCACGATCTCATTCTTTCAGTCTCTTCAGAGTTCATGACCAGAGGTGAGGGGAGGAACGTAGACTGACCGGTAAACAGAGAGCTTTGTCTTACAGCTCAGCTCCCTCTTCACCACAGTGGACCGGCACAGAGTCCA